GACCTCAATAGACGAGACTAGGCTTCACCAACCGACGTATGGCCGAAATTATATGGTTTTAGACGCTGTTGGACGCGATTGGTCCGAGAATTAATCGTCTGAGGTGACGTGCGCGACTTTCAAAGGCTGCCGGGGAAAATCCCGGCAGAACCCCGGCAAGTAGCCGCATGGCTGCAGTGCAGCACTCACATTGGACATGTTCAAAACGCCTAGCGTTGTTTTGCTCGTTATTGTCAGGCAATTACTTCACTACATAGTCACGCCGAAGTGGAGGTCGGCACTCTTCGAGGGCTTTTCCCAAACGTAACAGTTAGTAAATTCGTCACGTTTTTGGGGTGCTACTTTTCGACCGGTTTTGGTACAACACGCGCTTGGGTGGCCGGTTGAATGCCCTTCGCTTGGGTGGCGAGAGTGTCAATTTGATCCCCTGAAATATAAAAACTAAGAGGACCAGAGGCACCAAATATTCTGCATGTGAACTCAGTTGTGTCAAAATATGAAGGTCTTACGTTTCGACTTTTGGGTCAAATAATGTTAAACAAGGCCAAACTCAAGATTGGTGTCTGAAGTGTCAAGGGTCCTTATGTAACCGCTGTATACTATACAACAGATTAAAATCCAATTCGCGACGTTTCCCCGATACACTGCGGCGTTCGTCGATGAATTTCATGTTATATTGTACACGAAAAATGCACGAAATCGTAAAGCTGATGCCATCAACACACACAGAGTGCGGAGAACTTCAAGTACTTGGTAAGAGGAAATTGACGGAATCTAAATTAACATATTAAGGCCGTAGAGGAACCCCTATGATCTATGCGCAAGTGGTTTACAAACAATGGGATGAAGAGATTCACGGAATCTGAATTAACACATAAAGGTCATGGAGGAAGCTCTTTAATTTATGCGCAAGTGGTTTACAAACGACGAGATGAAGGAAGGCCTATCAGAGACTCAGGTAATGACTAGTTCTTGCAAACGTCGGTGCACAAGGCCTTAGTTGTTGTGAACACGCCCAGCCGGCCCGGCGGCACAGCATGCCGTCCCTGCCGAGTCGCGGCGCGGCGTCGGCCGCGCGATGAACGGCCACCGGCGGGCGCTGACCGCCGTCCCGTGGCGGACCGTGCGGGACGCGTGATAGGTGCGTGTGTGCTAGCTGACTCATGAGTGGTAGTTCACCCGAACTAAATGTTGTGTCGTGCCTGCCTGAGATAGCAGGGGCAGGACGCTACTGGACTCGGTCCAATACAGACCGCCGCGTCGCTACACGTCTCTCTCTGACCGAGCTGAGCCGAACCGCTGGACGAAGACATCACATAAGTGTCGTCAATATAGTCATGCACGGGAGGTCCGTTTTGCTGGTCGATCACACCGAAGCAGGTGCAACAATGTGATTGCTATTTTGTAAAACCTGGTCTTGAACATCACAACTTCATGCAACTGTGCAGAAATGCAAGGGGTTTTAGTTGTCCTATTACGCCAACATCATCTGATGTCAAAGAGCCTCACCCATAAAACAATTCAATCGCCGGTACTGCCAACTTTTCTCTACTGTATCCCTGTTTTAGGCGCAACGGGTTTTGCACAGGTGCTGCGTTTGGAAAAAAATCAGCTTGAGTGATGGCAAAGCCTCTAAAGCAGCGTCGCTGACATTGTCGTCCGAAGAAAGTTAAGCCGGCTGAGCGTGGGTGATCTCATTAAGCGATCAGTATGCGTACGTAATTATTATTACATGCTCACTGAACAGCCACCTCAACAAACAATGCTGTTGCGACCAACATGCGTTGTGCATGACATTGAAATGACGGGTGCTTCGTTTGCTGCACCTTCGAACTGAAGCGGATGAGGGTAGTTACCCGTTCAGGGGCACAACAGCTTGAAACAGTGTACCCCGGAAATACAGCAGGCTCGC